GGTGATGTAAATTATTTGTTTAATTAACTTGGTATTAGAGTACAAACACTAAAAGTGTGCAACATAAACATCACTAAATAGTGTTATTTTATGCTAATTATATTGTTTTCTTTTGTTTAATTAGTGCTATTTACTGCTAAATAGCGATAGTCTAACTATTGCACACATTTAGTGTTTGTACTCTATATGGGATAAGTTTACGGTAACTTAAGAAGGCTGTGGGTAGTTTTGGTCTGGCACACCTAGCCGCATTGAAACGGCTACAACTTCGTCTTGAATAACTCGATCTGCAAGCGCTTTTCACACAATGTCAGGAAAGGATTAAAGGTTTCAAAAATGATAAATTAGTTTAAAGCGGCCTTTTCATTATGACGTAATGATGACATAAAAATCGTTTACTAGACCTAAACTTTCAAAGCGACTTGCACCAGTCGATAGCATTCATCAAGGCACCCAACATATTGCAATATGAAAAAAATGTATGAGAGCGTTTTCCAAATATTACGCAATGAATATTTTCATGGACTTTTACTATTATTTCCAGCGTGTCAACTTTATATTCTCAAAATCGGGACTTTAATATATAGTGGATTCAATATTTTTAGTAGCTAGAATATAGGTACGGATATAGACACTGTCCTTATTGAGTATGAATCAAATTGTGACTTTCTTTCTAACGTTATGGATTTTTTGATATGAAGCTAAATGACCCCATTTGTTGTCGAAAGCGATAGAAAATATCGGTGAAAGCGGCATTCATTCATTCTAAATAAAGTCACTAAAAGATGAATCTTTTACAAATATTCTCCTTTAATTTTATATGCATTGAAGGGTTTTAAGGCAGTCAAATAAAAATAAGTACGCTCACAACTATTTTCACTCACGGCTGCTTGTTGATTATTCACGCTTGACTTCCGTGTTATTCCTTGTCCAGTGCTGTTACGAATGGCTCCACCGCTTACGCTTTGCTGAGCTCTGTGTACACAGTCTTGTAACGCCAGCAAAGCGTAAGTAAGCGTAATTAAAGTCCCGATTTTGAGGGTACACGCTTTACATTATAACTTTAAAGGAGCAATTGGACGAATTGAGCTGAAACTTTGTTGGAATAAGCTTTTAGGGCTTATAAACACTGGTTAAAGTCTTTTCCCAAATTATGTACAACACTTTTCATCGGAATATGAAGAAAAAAATTTAAGCAATGTTTTATTAGACTGTTAAAGATTATCCCAGGTAGAATATTCAGCCGAGCCCAATTGAATTGTCGTCCAGCTGTAATGCCCAATGCTAATTTAACGGTTAGCAATCGCTTGTTGGTGATAGAAAAGGGGTGGGGGATTTGTAACGAAAATCGAAACATCACGTAGGTTTGGTTGGGCTTGGCACGTTTTACTGTTTCAATAGAGGAAGTCAATATAGAAACATTCTGTACATTGGTATGACAGACTCAGTGGGAAATATCACCTGGAGTTGCGACTGAGCTCACACAGCTGAGATTCCTTATTTCTATAGTGACAGATTTAGTTTTTGTCGGTTCTTACAGGTGGAACTTTTCTACCAACTTAAAATCATCCCGCTGTTAGTTTTACTGCAGTCCACGGCAAGACATCAGCGCGCGATAGTCCAGAAGAGTGGCCAAATTATGGGGTTACTTCGTCTAACGTCGTTGCTTATTTTAGGATTTTGCTTTCTTTTGCCAGAAACGTTCTCCGTGGATTGGCTATCGATTGCACTAAAAGATATCATAAGACTTCGAGGTTCCATCCTCCTAAACCAGAAGGCTGATATTCTGTTTCTCATCGACTCGTCAGGGAGTCTTGGGGGTCACCAGTTCGGTTACGAGAAGAAATTCATCAAGAACTTGCTGAATGAAATCGTGGTTGGATATAGTGCCACTAGAGTTGAAGTCATCCCCTTCTCCAATTCAGCCAGCCGTTTCATTAGGTTTATCTCGGATCCAAAGAGTACCAACAACAAGTGTTACTTCAACCAGAGGTTCTCCACACTCACACAAGAACATGGAATGACAAATATGAAAGACGCCTTTCAGATAGCTTATGATATCTGCCTCGGGAAATGGTCAGGGGTTAAGCGATTTCCGATGAAGGTCTTCAAAACAGTCATCATTCTTTTAACCGATGGTGATTGGAATTATCCCCCAGGTGATAATGACCCCACTCCGATTGCAAAGAAACTGATTGATCAGAAAGCAGAGATATTTGCTATTGGTGTTGGTGGTACTGTCAATTTTAGAAATTTACAAATACTAGTAGCTGGTCAGAAGCCTGGTGTAGTATATGCATTTCATCTTCGAGATTTTAACCAGTTTAATGAGCTTGCTACTTACATCAGAGGAGGTAATGATGTTTCGATAAAAAATTATTTTGACACAACCTTCCCTTTCCAATAGAAAAAGGAAGAGAGGAGAGGAGAGGAGAGGAGAGGAGAGGAGAGGAGAGGAGAGATGAGATGAGATGGGATATTGATTCATTGTTTATTAAGCTTATATGTTGGCCAATAAGATAACACTGAAATGAGTGTATCTCTGTTTTTCAATTAGATCCTCACGAGAAACAATGGGAAACGGTCGACGTTGATGCTTCCATGTGTGGCAATCGGTGTGATGGCCAGGCCAAGTGTGCATGCGGACTGATCAAGGGTGACTATAATTGCGCATGCCCAGCAGGAAAGGCGGGCTCTGGTATACGCGGAGACTGCAAGGGTTAGTYGAGCAAAAAATATCTAATGTACATCAATCGTTTTTCTTTTTTCGGGCGTACGTTTTTATTGATTGATTGATTGATTGATTGATTGATTGATTGATTGAAATCTTTATTTTACGTAGGGTCAGTTATCTAACTTATGGCCCTCAAAATATAAGATCATTCGATTACAAGTAAATAAAACGAAAAACATTGCAAATATAAACACAAATCTAATCTTCAACGAGTAGTGACGAGCTAGTACAGCGAATAGACAAACTAACGAGAGATCTACTTCTACATCTACATAATTTATTTGCAAAATCCAAAAGGACATCCAGCAAATTAACAAAGTGGTGAATAGGAATAAGAGAATATGGTCTCTTGGTAGGATTCATTCTTTCAATCTTGGAGGTCGTACCGCATATCGACTTACTCGTAACTATACGTTGTGTTTGGATGAATCGTACTGGATGACAATGAAAAGCCATTTCTTTTTATAGCATAGCCACAATATAACGCGCAATCTGATTGGTTAATTAGCTTGCGGGAGAGTGCATCCAGAAATGGATGGTGTACGCTGACGTGATTGAGTAGCGCGCCCTATGTAATGAAGATTTCGTTAGATCAAAATTTGGATTTTTTTCGATGAACAATTATTTTTTTTACGGTCGGCCACGCCTCGTGCGATTCTTACGCTTCTTTCGTGCTTAGCAACCTCCCGCGTGCATCCAGAACTGGATGTACGCACGCTAAGCATTGACCATTTCTTAAAAAGCAAGTAGAATATGTTTTCCACACATACGAAAATCACTTTAGTGGCATGGTATGCCGTGACCTTGATGGTGACGGTGGATGACCAATATCTGACATAATGATGATACATGATGATTATGATACATGATGATACATGATGATTATGATACATGATGATACATGATGATGTTACATGATGACAATACGTGATGAAGATAATGGTGATGATAAATAATGATGATACTCGATCATGATACATGATGATGATACATGATAAATGATGTTGATGATGGTACATTATAGTGGTGATGATGATGATGATACATGATGATGATACATGATGATACATGATGTCGATACATGATGATGATGATACATAATGATGATAATGATGATGATACTTGATGATGATGATGATGATACATGATGATGATACATTGTGATGA